GAAGGGGGGAGGGAAGTTTGAGTTGGGAGGGGAGGAGGGGATGGGGAGGGGAGGGGGTTGGTGGGAAGGGAGGGAGGTAAGGAAAAGGAGAGGAGGGGAACGTTGCAATATGAGGAGGAGAATAAAGCTAAAGTAGGAAAGGGGGATAATAAAGAATCGAAGACGAAGAATTAACGAAGAGGAGAAAGGGGGGAAGAATAGAACCCCATTTCAGACCGAAGAATTAGGGCGAAGTGAGGAGAATAAGAGTGAAAAAGAGTAATTTTCTTCTAACGAATGAGGGAGAGAAAGCGAACACGAAAGGGACAGTTTAGCCGTTCCTCTGACCCGGTGGAGAGAGAGCAAAAAATGGAGAACGAATATGTAAAGGGATTTATGTTGGTTTTCAGCGCGTTTCCGTTTTCTTTGGGCTTTATGGCGAGCTGTTAGAAAATGGGATTTGTGAGAGTGAGAGGCTCGAGGATAAACAAAGATTTTGGGGCATTTAATTCTCTGGCGTTTATACTGGTTTGGAATCTAAACCCTTTTCGTTTCTTTTTTTTCTCTTCTTTTGTGTTTTGTTTTGTTTTTTTCTTTCTTTCTTCTTTTATTAAGGTTTTATCTTATTAAGTCTTTGTTTTTTGTTGTTATTATTTGCGGGATATGGAAGACTGGGACAGATTTTGGGTACTTTATTTTTCTTTTGTGTATTGGTGGGGGTTGAAAACCCTCTCTCTCTCTCTCTCTCTTCTCCTCTCTCTCCGTCTCTCTCACTCTCTCTCGTCTCTCTCTCTCTCTCTCTCGTCTCTCTCTTCTCTCTCTCTCTCTCTCTCTCTTTCTCAGTCCCCTTTCCACCCCCTTTTCTTTCTCCCTGTGTCCTTCCTTCTCCCTTTCCTTTCTTCCTCTGTCTCCTCCTACTCTCCTCCCCTTCTTGCTTTCTCCTCCTCTTCTCTCCCTCCTCCTTCTTTCTTCCACTTTTCTCTTCCTTTCTCTCCTCCTTCTGCCCTCTCATCTGTCCTCACTCCTCCACTTCTTTTCTCTTACCTCTTTCTTCCCCCCCTCCCATTCCTCCTTTTTTTCCCTCCCCTCCCTCCTCCTTTTAACTCCTCCTCACTCCCTTACCATACTCTCATTCCTTTTCTCTCCCTCACTCTCACTCTTTCCTGTCCTTCCTCCTTCCCCTCTCCCATTCTTTTTTTTTCCTTCCTCCCCCCTTTGTCATCCTCCCTCTTTCTCCCTTCTTCTCTCTCTTTCCTTACCTATCCCTTCCTCCATTTTCTCCCTGCTCCCATCTCTCCCTCTTTCCCCCTCCCTCCTCTTTTCCCCCGTCCCCCTCCCTCGCCTCTCCCCGCCTCTCCTCCCCTCCCCCTCTCCTCTCCCTCCTCTCCCTCCCCTCACCTCTCCTCCCCTCCCCACTCCCACTCCACCAGATCATTTACACCTGAGGGGAAAGAGAAGCCACTTTTCTGACGTAAATAAGGGGCATGAATGACATTTCTTCCCTGGCAGAAACTTTTTTTTTAGCGAGAGAGAGAGAGAGAGAGAGAGAGAGAGAGAGAGAAGAGAGAGAAGAGAGAGAGAGAGAGAGAGAGAGAAGAGAGGAGAGAGAGAGAGAGAGAGAGAAGAGAGAGAGAGAGAGAGAGAGAGAGAGAGAGAGAGAGAGAGAGAGAGAGAGAGAGAGAGAGAGAGAGAGAGAGAAGAGAGAGAGAGAGAGAGAGAAGAGAGAAAAGAGCGAGAGAGAGAAAGCGAGAGAGAGAGAGAGAGAGAGAGAGAGAGAGAGAGAGAGAGAGAGAGAGAGAAGAGGAGAGAGAGAGAGAGAGAGAGAGAAGAGAGAGAAAGAGAGAGAGAGGAGAAAGAGAGAGGAGAGAGAGAGAGAAGAGGAGAGAGAGAGAGAAGAGAGAGAGAGAGAGAGAGAGAGAGAGAGAGAGGAGAGAGAGAGAGAGAAGGAGAGAGCTTTAAGGGGAGTGGGGTCGAATTTTCAATCTATTTTAATTCTTGATTTTATTTTACTCGCCTTTGCCTTTTGTGTCATTAGTTTTTATTTATTTTTCCTCCTCTTTCTCTTCCTTTCCCTCTTTTATATTTCATTCCATCTCTTTTAATAAAGTGTTTATTGTTTTCCCTTTTTTTGTTTTCTTAAATGGGATATATTCCGTAAAATACACCGGTATTATGAGTAAACTACACCAATGGTTTTGTAAATGGTGTGCGAAATAGACACCCATTAGGACAAAGGCGAGGTGATGATGATGGTGGTGTCAACAGAAGGCAATGGTGATGATGATGTCAATAGGTTTTAGCAATGACGAGCAAATGAAGCCAATGGTGATGATGGTGTCAAATGAAGGGAATGGTGATGGCGGTGTCAACTGAAGGGTGAGATGATATCAATGAGTGATGATGATGTCATTGGGTTTTAACATTGACGAGCAAGATGAAAGTAATGGTGATGGATGGTGTCACGCTGAAACCACTTCCGGTCTTCATCATGGAGGGAAGACTTGCTCGAGGGCATTTCAGGGTCAGATTCTCTTTAAGTTCTCTCTCACTCTCGTCGCTGCTTCCTCTTTTTTCTGTTTTTTTTTCTTTTTACTTTTTCTGCTTCCTTCGTTCTTTTCTCGTTTTTTGTTTTCTCCTACTTACTTGTGTGTGCCGCCTCTCTCTTATTCCTCTTCCTCTTCTCGCCTCGAGGTATTCCTCCTCCTCTTCCTCTCCACTTCCTAGATATCTCGTCCTATTCCTCTTTCTCCTCCTCCTCTTTTCTTCTTCTTCTTTCTTCTTCCTTCTTCTCTTCTATCTTCTTCTTCTTCTTCTTTCCCTCCTTTATCTTCCTTTTTTCGTTCGCTTCCTCTCCTCCCTCCTCCTCCTCCTTCTTTATTTTAATCTCATACCACATATCCTCATCTCGCTCTTCGTCTCTCTCTCTCTCTTCTCTCCTCTTCTCCTCCTCTCTCTCACTCTCTCTCTCTCTCTCTCTCTCTCTCTCTTTCTCCTCTCTTCTCCTATCTCTATCTCTCCTCTCTCTCTCTCTCTCTCTCTCTTCTCCCGTTCCTCAATCTCTCTCTCACCCTCTCTCCATCGTCTCTTCTCTCTCTCTCTCTCTTGTCCTCTCTTCCCTCCTTCCTCTCATTCTCGTCGCCTCCCTCGTCCCCCCTTCTCGTTCCCTCCTTTCCGCCCTCCCCGCACCTCTCCTCTTCGTCTTGCCCTCCCTCTCGGTCCTACCTCTTCTCTCGTCCATTCTCTCTCCTTTCTCTCGTCTCCCATTCGCACCCAAAAACAACACCAAACAACAAAAGACACTTTGCCTCCAAAACTAACCCTTATTGTCCGGAGCTCCTCACCTCTGGATCCTCGCTCGCAATTAACTCTCAAGACAAGGATTAATGAATGGAGGATTTCAATTTAGTAACATCTTGGCCGCGACTGACTTTTGGGGGGTGCCATAAGGGCGAAAGTTCGGTTGGCAGGAGTAGGGTGGAGTTCGGCCTTAGTGCTGTGTTGGCTGTTTTTTCTTCTATTTTCTGTCTTTTTCCTTTTTTTTTTTTGTTTTTTTTTTTTTGTTTTTTTTTTAGTTTCGTGGGCGTTTTTAATCAGTGTTAGGAAATGGATGTTTTATTTCCAGTACGGGTTGTTTTGTGTGAATATGTTTGAAGAAATTTGTATATACAACGCACTTTTCATGCACATATATTACAACATACACAGAAAATATGAAAAAAAACACATACAAAGACACTCACACAGAAACAAAAAACAAACAAACACACACACACACAACACCATCACAACAACACACACACACACACACACACGACACACACACATTGACACACACACACACAACACACCCACCCACACACCCACACAAACACAAACCACAGAAACAAACAAACAACACACACAGAAACCAACAAACACAACACACAGAAAAAAACAAACAAACAAACACATCACACAGAACAAACAAACACACACACAGAAACACAAACAAACAAACACAACACACAGAAACAAACAAAACATATCACACAGAAGACAAACAAACAAAACACACAACACTACAGAAACAAATCAAACAAACACACACAACATGGGTTCACAGAAACAACAAACAAACACCACACAACCACGAAAAACGTAACATATGCGACAATAAAAAAAAAAAAACGAAGAAGCAAAATTCTTTAACAAAATTAAGTTTTAAACAAGTTTTCTTTCTTTACCCTCAACATTCTTTCTCGTTACGACGACAGCACGTTGCAGCTGACCTGAAGTAACCCGAAACGCCGACCGAATGACCCGAAATGACCCGAAGTAACCCGAAATGACCCGAAATGACCCGGAATTGACCTGAAGAAGTAAACCCGAAAAATTCATGACGAAAATGACCCGGAAAACTTGGACCCGATAGTAACCCGGAAATGACCCGGAACAATGACGCGGGGAATTGACCGAGTAGTAACACCGAAATGACCCGACAAATGACCCGGAACTGACCCTGAAGACCCGAAAAATAAGACCGAAATTTTGACCCGGATGACCCGAAATGACCCGGGAATGGACCCGAAATGGACCCGACAAATTGACCCCGAAATTGACCCGGGAAATGACCCAAGACAAATGACCCGAGCGAAATGCCCGGAAATGACCCGAAAATGTACCCCGGAATGACCCGGAAATGACCCGGAATGACCCGAATTGACCCGAAATGACCCGGAATGACCCGAAATGACCCGGAAATGACGACCGAAATGACCCGGACATTGACCCGAACATGACCCGGAATGACCGCGTCTAAATCGATGTCATAACGTTTACAGATATATAAGTCAGGTTGGTTGTCACCTGCTTCTGAGTTCGGTCTCATTGATTGCAGTTTTTTGATAAGGTTTATTAAAGGCTGGGGTGTGATTGCAGCACGGGATGTGGGAGGGTGTGGGCGACGCCTAAGTGGGGGAGTTTGTTCCATGTGTGTTGAAAGGTGGGGGGACGGGGGAGCGTTGGTGTGTGCAGATTGTAAT